TATATACAGTATAAAAGATGATAATAAAGTAAGATGAACAGTGTCTTCACCTGTGAGTGACGGGATCGGCCACTGATCTCTAAGTTGCTCAATTAAAGTTAGCTAAGAGCCTTAACAGGGCAAAGAGTGGGGAGGAGGAGGAAGATCAAAGGGAATATAGAGAAAATCCTGGCAGGAGAAAGAGAGGAAGAGTGTGTGTGAGTGTGCACAGAGAAAGAGAGCATGTGAGTGATAGGAAGACAGTGAAAGAGAGACAGTACAGACAAAAAAATATCCTGATATTCAGGGTTGTGATTAATTGTCTCTCCACTAAGTGATGTAGGAGTCATTGCAGAAGTCCTTTTTATGGTAAAATCCCAATAAGCTGGCAGAGTGTGTGTGGAAAACAGAGGTCAGCTCATGTCATAAACAATTTATCAGTAGCGGTATACCGCCTGGGATGTAGCTCATCCCACCAAATGGTTTGGATATATGAGAGGGAGCCATTCTTTGAGTGCCAGACCATTAAGACAATCACAGAAAAAGTGTTTAATTTAGTGCCAACTTTACTTTGCTAGTAATTGTATACTTTTACAGTATAAAAGATAATAATCATCATCATATCATAATAGAAATGTTGTAAAGCTAAAGCAGGTTTTAAAAAACAAACACTACTTCAAGGTTTCATTACTGTCACAATTATAGTTTTGTGCAAGTTTGGCAAGATATGGCTTTTTTGGAAGCTTCTCGCACATGATGCTTGAGAATTAAAGCAAGACTATGTAAGTTTACTTGCACTACTGTTATGCAACATTTTAGCATTTGACATTATCCTATAAATGCCACAAGTGACATTATTCAGCAAAAGTAACTAACTTTAAGTAAACTAACTAGACATTTCCGGGAGCTGTGCCAGTGGAGGGGGGGCTCTGGCTCACTTCACTGCCACTGCTTATTCAAGTGTGCCCTCCAATGGAGGAAAACAGGGCATGTTGACAAAATAGACTCCTCTGCAGGATGTTTAAGTTATACTTGGACTCTGACAAAAAATGTATTTTTCACTGTGAATTTCCTCTGCCCTCAGGTGCCACAATCAGTGAACTGAGTGCATTTACACTTAAACTCTGCAATTACAGGCACTTTTAACCATCAAGTCTTAATTTAATATCACAAAATATCCAGTAGAGCAAACGGTGAAGTCAAATATCAAGGCTGTCAGAGCTGAGATAGCCCAGGATATTACAAACCAAAATCTTTGCAAATTGAACTCAGCCGCACATACCTTTCCCTCTCTGAGGTTTTGAAGCATTATTTCTGATAATCCAAAAACAATCAGAACAAGCACAGACTTCACTTGTAGCATATGTTCATTAGTGACACATTATAATGCAGTTCTTGGAAAGGTCACTGAATGATTGCGAGGTTCTAATCCAAATGGTAATTCACTAACTGATTGGAAAAGTGCAGTAATGTAATGATAATGATATGCAGATGAGTTCTCATCAGAGCTGTCTATCCATTAATGAGATGATATTTGAGCGTACTGTACGTGTTTGTGTGTGTGAGTGTGTGCACGTGTGTCCGTGCAGGCAAAGCTGCATGCACGTGTAGAGAGCGAGTGCATATTGAGAGCGCGCATTCAGTTCCATCAGAATATTTAGCATATTAATGTTCAATCAGTCTGCACTAATGCAAAGTTTGATTAGGACATGCCATAGTAGCTAATAAACAGATGGAAGCAACAGCTCTTGATTATATCACAGCCAGCTTAAGCGACCAGCTTATCCTTAGCCTGAAAAATGTAGGCCCTGTGTGCGAGGATGTGAAGATTTGTATGTTATAAAAATGGGTTGTGATGCAGGTTAGCATTCAGTACTGTATGTATAACGTTTGTGATTGTGTCCTAGCAGAAAGACTGGGGTTCAATTCTCAGCTCTGGTCCTTCCTGTGTGGAGGTTGAATGTGTTTGCCATGAGTTTCCAATGGGTGCTGTGGTTTCCATTCACTCTGACAAAATATGCTGGTTAATTGGATGGCCCAAAATAAGCAAAGAGCCCATGGAGGGTAGTGTTTGCTGGGATGTTAGCCAATAGGGATCCAAATAGCTGAACAACACAATCTTATATTCCCTAGTTTTAATTTGCTAGCTTACTATGTGTAACAATACTTTGCTACAGGTTATACACTTTCCTGTTGTAGTTTTTACAACTACTCAATCTGCATCCAAGTCAGTGGTGGAAAGTAACAAAGTAGATTTACTTAAGAACTGTACTTTAATTTTGAGGTATTTTATCTGAGTACCTATTTCCATTTTATGTTCATACATACTTCTACTCCACTACATTTCAGAGATAAATGTTGTACTTTTTATGCCACTACATTTATTTGGCAGATACCTGTTAATTTACAGATTAAGATTATAGATTAAAACATATGATAAACTCATAAAATACAGGAGCAGTCTAAGTAGTCGTTCCCAGCCATTTGGCATGTGAACTTGGGGCCTCTTGTCATGATTGAAATGTGTGAGTTGTTAGCCGTTCGACTTTTCACCCTATAAACTTCTCAAATAGTTTCATTAAAATAACAGTTTGAGGACCAAAAAGGTCAAATTAACCCATATTTAACAAAAAAAAGCAAAGATTAGAGAAAAATCTAAAACATTAATATAAATGTGTGTATTTGAAATTATTTTTTTCATCTTTACTCTCCCATTAATCAACTCATTACCCCTCAGATTTATCTGTTCACCCTTTGGAGGAACAGATAAAACACAGGGAATATTTTACTGCAGAACGATACTTTTACTTTTGACAGTTTAAGCACTTCCATAGGAATTTGTATTATAAATTGTTGTATTGGTTCTTCTTCTACCACTGATCCAAAATACCAAAATGTAAAGAAAGAATTCAACAGCAGGATAAATTAAGCCTCGTATTGTCAAGCACAGTGGCGGACTCAGGTTGTCTGAAGGCTAGGGGCTATAAAAAACAAAAAGGGCACCAGCTTCATGTGGTGGGGCAGAAATTGAACTAAGCACGTTGGCGCGTATTCATCAGAAATTCATGCCTTTCAAGCATCGACGAAAGTTAGCATAGACAATTGGTATTTTCGAGCAGTGGGAATCTGTCCCAGCAGAGGGTCCTAAATCATGTTTTTTGCACATAGGGGCACCTTGGACGGCACTTTATTACATTTCCTCACACAAAGAGGCACCCATTAGGGCACTGCATCACATTTTCCACTGGAAGGGCACCCAGAGGGAACATTATCTTGTTTTATTTCTGAAAGGGGCATTCGAAAAGGTACTTTTGTGGCATTTTTTTCTAATGTGGGGAAACTGTGTCTACCACTCGTAATGCACACTTAGTCACTATGAAAATTAACAAATGTATCCAAATCAAGTTCCTGAACTTCTCTGACAATGAATGTTGCACCCAATGCCATCGTCCATCTCGATGTTTCATTGTAGACATCGTCTGATGGAAATTTTGTAGACATCGCCCAACCCTAATTTCAAAAGAACCAACACCACAAAAGATTTTTTAGGGGGATACATTCAGAGTGGTTTTACTTCTTCTTCCCAGGACCCAAATGAAAAATGCTGTTTTTTCATCCTGGGACCCAAATGCCCATTAAAGAGTGATGAAACAGACTGTAACTGCTCGTCTGTACTCTAAATTTTAAAAAAAACCAAAAATATAGAAGGAGGAGATATGATGTAAGCCAGGGCATATATGTTATGCTACAGCTATGTCCACTGAATCTCAACTCCGTCTTTGTATTTTGTCAGCATGTATTCAGTCTTCATGTGGGACCTGTTGAGTTGATTGTGCAGGACAACAGCATTCTTTGACAAAAGCAACATGCGCATTTAAACAGAGCCAAACACAACAGGCTACACAGCCAACATGCTGCTTCTCTAGACAGTTCCAACCAGTTTGGCAGAAGTTACCTTACAGCTTCTCTGCAATGTCCTCTCATTCCGCACAGCCAGTGCAGATTTACTAGTACCTCCTGTAGAAAACCTTCACTTTTACACCTGGGGATCGCACATCGTACAGATCCTTATTTGACTCTGTATGGATTTACAGTGTGCCACTGGAGGGCAACATAGTCCAAATGTAGTTTCTGCATAGGCCTGCTTTTTCTTTGAGACTACGTAGTGTTAAACTTCAATGTGTACTAAGCCAGAGACATATTCCCTTTACTTAAATTTCCTCTTTATACCATCCATGGTAAGGTGCACACTAAATACAAGTACATACTTAAGACAATAATGACAACAACTAATTAAGACTATTGCTCCCTATTTTCACCTGATTACAGTTATCTATCTATCATTAAAAATAATAACATTAAAGAAATATTATATCATGGAAAACATTACATATATATAGATATATGTATATATCAGATCTATATTTGGAGCTCTAGTCCATGAATGTCTTGTTCCAGTGGCCCATTTGTCATCAGGTTGCGCTGGTTCTCTAGCACCTGACAATGGTAATTGGAGCACTGGGGGCTCAATTCAACAGTGCTGTACTGACACCTGGTGGACAGTTGGAAGCATAGGATTCACTGAATTTATTGCATTTGCTAATAACTGTGGCTTCCCCTGTCTTTTCCACGAGCAAAGGTTTGAAAGTTCTTTGCTTCAAGCCTCACACTCAAATCTATTAATTGATATGAATAGACCACCAAGTTGACAAAAAATACAAATATCTAACACCATCTTGTAATAAATATGTGTTAGATTTTTGTTTAGACTATCAGAAGAAGAGTCAAATCTCTTTTAGGGCCACAGTTTAAAGTGTCATCACACTCTGTAATCCAAATTTATCTTTCCACCTTTCCAGTCAAAATCAAATACATTTCATAATCACACATCACTAGCCATATGCCTACAATAAATAGCATTATTGTATAATGAGTTTATAACCAGGAGAGACAGAATGCACATATTCACAAACGATTCTTAGCTAAAACAGCTGTTTGATCAGGAAGACAAAGTAGGAATATTTGCTGGAATCACAAAAGGTTTATTTACCATGTCCACTTTATGCTCAACAAGATCAATACATTTAATAACCACCAGCCAACACAATGCAGCACTGTTCCAATATAATCCAGTGTGAAAGACAGGAGTGAGAGCATTAGTCTACTAAATAATGCGCATACATCATTCAAGAAACTCTTATGTGAAAAAAAACATACGTTTCTGCATCTTGTTGCATGATCTGCTGAGCCTTCATGTTGTCCCCGCAATGCATTTACAATGTTTACCATTTCCTTGCTCCCTTTGCTCAAATTCAGATTCATGCATATCTTAATCCTCTAGTAGCTCTTAGTCATATGATCTTTGGCCCAGTAAAAACATTATTGCACATTAACTACATAAAGAAATGTTTAATATGATTGGTTAATGTTTCCTAAGTGCTGGCACGTTAAAATACTACCTAGCATCCTTTAGTTGTAGCTTAACCATCACAGCAGGAAGGTTTTTGTAAGTGATTTATTTATTCATGAGGGGAAAGACATCATGAGAATATGGTCAATCCAGCTCTTCTATGCCTTTATTTATATGTCAAAGTACATTTTAATTACAGCAGAAACTTTCCTATACTCTAGAAACATGAATCCTCTTTTTTCATCCCTGAACCCAAATGACAAATGATTACATCTTTTGTCCTTATACACGGGTTCATAAACACAACGCAGCCCCTTTTACTTTCGTAATATAGCTACAGATGTTTGGCTCTGACCCACTCTGGGCACCAAATTTCTAGCCCACTGTTTCCAAAACCAGGCTTGACGTGTTTCACGGCAAGCAGCAGTTGACCTGGTTGTCAATTGTGTCCCTTCTCATTCAATTTTCTCAGGAGGAACTACTTCCATCAGCAGCTGGAGATGCATGGTGATGGGCCCTACAGGGGAATGGAGGTCAAAGGTCACATCAACACTATTCAAGTGGGTTCATCATGAGGTCAGCGCAACATAACACTGTATTTCATGAACTTGCTTTCTACCTTTTGAGCACATGATGTCCCATTTTATTCTACACTAATGGTCAAAAACCAATGGAAATATTTTAACATCTTAAATTTTGAGATGAAGTCAGTTCAGAGTAAAACATACTCATGAGTTTGCGTGCCCAGTTGACCTTCCGGTGGATGAAAGGGTAGTAGAGGAGAAGTCCACTGAAGATGAAGATAGTACAGTAGAGGTACTCCAGCTCTGGCTTATCAATGATGGGAGCCAGGACTAAGTAGCAGGACACCAGGACCATTAGGCATGGTATGACAATCGGTACCTTTGAGTACCAAATCACACAATTACACAAGGCACATTGTTTAGTATATACACTGCTCAAAAAAATAAAGGGAACACTAAAATAACACATCCTAGATCTGAATGAATGAAATAATCTCATTAAATACTCCTTTCTTTACATAGTTGAATGTGCTGACAACAAAATCACACAAAAATTATCAATGGAAATCAAATTTATCAACCCATGGAGGTCTGGATTTGGAGTCACACTCAAAATCAAAGTGGAAAACCACACTACAGGCCGATCCAAATTTGATGTAATGTCCTTAAAACAAGTCAAAATGAGGCTCAGTAGTGTGTGTGGCCTCCACGTGCCTATATGACCTCCCTACGACGCCTGGGCATGCTCCTGATGAGGTGGCGGATAGTCTCCTGAGGGATCTCCTCCCAGACCTGGACTAAAGCATCCGCCAACTCCTGGACAGTCCGTGGTGCAACGTGGCGTTGGTGGATGGAGCGAGACATGATGTCCCAGATGTGCTCAGTTGGAATCAGGTCTGGGGAACGGGCGGGCCAGTTCATAGCATCAATGCCTTCCTCTTGCAGGAACTGCTGACACACTCCAGCCACATAACGTCTAGCATTGTCTTGCATTAGGGGGAACCCAGGGCAAACCGCACCAGCATATGGTCTCACAAGGGGTCTGAGGATCTCATCTCGGTACCTAATGGCAGTCAGGCTACCTCTGGCGAGCACATGAAGGGCTGTGCGGCCCCCCAAAGAATTGCCACCCCACACCATTACTGACCGCCAAACCGGTCATGCTGGAGGATGTTGCAGGCAGCAGAACGTTCTCCACGGGGTCTCCAGACTCTGTCACGTCTGTCACATGTGCTCAGTGTGAACCTGCTTTCATCTGTGAAGAGCACAGGGCGCCAGTGGCGAATTTGCCAATCTTGGTGTTCTCTGGCAAATGCCAAACGTCCTGCACGGTGTTGGGCTGTAAGCACAACCCCCACCTGTGGACGTCGGGCCTTCATACCACCCTCATGGAGTCTGTTTCTGACCGTTTGAGCAGACACATGCACATTTGTGGCCTGCTGGAGGTCATTTTGCAGGGCTCTGGCAGTACTCCTCCTGCTCCTCCTTGCACAAAGGCGGAGGTAGTGGTCCTGATGCTGGGTTGTTGCCCTCCTACGGCCTCCTCCACGTCTCCTGATGTACTGGCCTTTCTCCTGGTAGCGCCTCCACGCTCTGGAAACTACTCTTGACAGACACAGCAAACCTTCTTGCCACAGCTCGCATTGATGTGCTATCCTGGATGAGCTGCACTACCTGAGCCACTTGTGTGGGTTGTAGACTCCGTCTCATGCTACCACTAGCGTGAAAGCACTGCCAGCATTCAGAAGTGACTAAAACATCAGCCAGGAAGCACAGGAACTGAGAAGTGGTCTCTGGTCACCACCTGCAGAACCACACCTTTATTGGGGGTGTCTTGCTAATTGCCTATAATTTCCACCTGTTGTCTATTCAATTTGCACAACAGCATGTGAAATTGATTGTCAATCAGTGTTGCTTCCTAAGTGGACAGTTTGATTTCACAGGAGTGTGATTGACTTGGAGTTACATTGTGTTGTTTAAGTGTTCCCTTTATTTTTTTTGAGCAGTGTACTTGTACTTGATCTGTGATCATAACCCCCAACTGAATTCCCCCAAAAAATAAGCAATATTATTTTGTTAATTAATATATCGAGATATATTTCTTTCAAGCTTATATTTCTACTAAGAAATGTTGATCACACTTTATTTGTAGAGCACTTATCAACAGAGTACAAAGTGCTTTCACAGAAGATAAAAAAACATTAAAATCATAGCAGTTAAAAAAGACAACAATAAAATACAACTTACAATGTCTTTAAAGCATGTCTTTAAAAGGAGTAGATTATTTATCTGGACTTGTAACAAACCTGTCTAGATGAATCAATTCAGTAAATATAATATAATTACTGTCTTGTTACCTAATCAGTTAATAACACTTTCTCTCCAAAACGCTGTCATCTTTGCTGTAATTTGAATGTGTGTAAAGATACAGCTGTTGTGGTGTCAAATTAACAAACCATCAGAGTGCATAATACTGCTGAGTTAAAACACTAAAAGAAGAAGTTGCCTCCCAAAAAAAAAACTCCTTGATTAATGAGCCTCACCTTTACTGGTCTATTGAGCTCCCTCCTGGTGAAACGCATGACTATGAGAGCCAGAGCTGTCAGACCATAAAACACCCACTGAGCGAAGCTGAAGTAGTTAATAAGGGTGTTGATATCTGCTGGGATAATGTAGAAAAGAGACAGAACACCCTAAAACAGAGAGAAAGGCGCTTGTAAACATTTAAAGAAGTTGGACGATCATGTCAGACTATATTGAAAAGGATCCAAGGAAACTCATTAAGTATGTAGGACTCACATTGAATATGAGAGCAGGGGAAGGAGTGTAGTGCTTCAGACTTATATAGGATAAGATTTTCACCAGGTGACCCTCTCTACCAGATACATAGGCCAGTCTGTGAGAAGATAAAGACAGAAATGTGTGCTGTCTTGTTGTACTGTACTTTCCTGACTTCTTGTCTATTTCCCTCTTCTCTGTCAAAGTCTTTCCAACTCTAATGCACATCAGTTTTCTCACTTTCAAACTTTGTTTATTCATGCCTTTTTTTCCTTATACAAACAAAAATGCACAGCACAGCATGTTTCTTCCGTATTTCATATATAATGTGACAGTTGTCTGTTTTACCTGCCAGCAGTGAAGCAGCTTCCATTGGCAGAGCCGAACGTAGAGAAGACAACAAAGAGGGGAACGATCCAAGACAGAGGGTAAAGGACTCTGTCTCCAAAAGTCTGAGAAGGCACAAACAAATCCTTCAGAAAAGACAGGGGAGCAGAATACTGAGCTGTTACTGAGGTTTAATCTAAAATTCTCTGGAATAAATAAAAGTACACATACTGTATACATGTGTGAAAATGGGTTCTCATTACTGTACATTTGTTATTTAACACCACACTAACAGGTCATTACCAGCTATTTTGAAAACACTTTGCCCCCCACTTCTCTATTACCTTTTATGCTTCTTACCACAGCAACAGCTGGAGACAACAGCAGCTCAGTGGTGGTCATAACAGTAAAGTAAGCAACGTTGACCAACACATAGCACATAGATACCAAAGGGATCCCGATGAGGATGGCAAGGGGCAAGTTCCTGAGATCAATTGACAGATAAACACATTGCATATTGTACACATTTGAACAGAATATAGGCTGTGCTTCATATATCTGATAGAAATGATCTGTTCGAAGATGTAAAAAGCATGCCTTCTTGTTTGTTCAATATAATATTGTGAACTCAAGTGCACTTAAAGGTTATGCAGCCTACCACGTCAGACATAATACTCTGACTTTGTCTAATGACCTCTTAAAAATTCCAGATTTTGGTTTGTCTTACCTGAATGGGTCTTTCAGCTCTTCTGTAATACAATTAAGTTGATTCCTAAGAAAACACGGGAATGAGAAAACAAAGGTAAAGGTAGAACACTACCATGAAATAAGAAATACAAAAAAAATTTAAAACAGGCATAATTGTAATTCTCCTCTGCAGAGCACTGCACTGAAATTTGCATGGACTTGCAGTGCTATGTAAGTAATCACTGTAGCCATTAGCATCTTTAATGTCACTGACATGGTATTTTAGTATTCTATGTGTTATTTCACTCACTTTACCCTGTAATTGGCCTTATAGCCAGACCCCTGCTGTGATCCCACCGTGAAAGAAAAATGAAAGTGTGCGAATCACATGAGGCCACCTATCCAGGTCCCCTCAGAAAAAGTGACTGAAGAGGAGAATGTAACCCTCAGAACTAACATTACACATTACAAAGAAATGAACCTCAATAAGGCAATAATGCTCTCCACACACTCCTGCACCAGAAGGAGATGAAGGGGGGCCATCTAAAAACTCCCAGCTGGTGACAGCACAGGAGACACAAGTATTGTTATGAAAACCCCACTGTAACCACTCATCATGCATAAGAGAACCCAAAATTGTCCATAACTGCCACACTCTGTAGCAGACTTTGCTCTGTAATGCACAACAACTCTTTAAACCAACAAAGATCTCCTTTATTGTGCAAACAGACTCAGTAAAGAAAAAAAGTAGTCAGCACTGTTCAGCCAGTGCTTTTAATACAGCCAAAAGTTGGGAAGGCCGTGATCGATGGCTGACCAATGGAACGGTAAGATGCTGCTTTTGTTTTTCAGGTCCAGGTCTAGAGACATAAACTACCCCTGCGTGCATATAATATCCACAAGACCTGAGGGAATAACTGAGGGAGTTGTTGCCTCTCACTATGCCCCACTACACTGCCATGTTTCTGCACTCAAACAACATGCAACCTGGTATTACGGATGAGGCTCGAGTAGCTGAAAGGCTAAGTAGGGTCACAGGGCTCCTACTTACAGTCAGTACAGTGGCAAAAAGCTCATCAGTTGACAAAGTAAACATCGATGAATTGCTTTATAAAAGAGTGTGAACAAGCCTACTGTATACACTGCTAAAGTATTCCTGCTAAAGGGCTAGTGAAGTATAACTCTCACCATCCATCATAAGCCCAAAGCCCATTATAAAATGCAAGTCCGATTGCTCCAACAGACGATGATGTGCCATCAAATGCATTTGACAAAGTCTCAGTTTTTCCTGGACACAAGCACATAACAATACATAAATAAATATTAAATGTTAGTATTAAACATTTTATCAAAGGACAAGGCATTTTAAAGCAAAGTTGTATATTAAAGTATATTAAATACACTGATAGTGCAAGCAGGCTCACCCTGTGCCATCACAACAATGCCAGCTCCCACTATGACAAGAATGATGAAAAGTTTGGCTGCTGTGAAGAAGTTCTGCACATAGCTTGCCAGTTTGACACTCAAACAGTTGACGGTGACGATCAAGACTGAGAAGACACAAAATAATGTAACAATATAAAACATTTTCCCTTAGATATTTGAAATAAACAGTGGAGAAAGCAGAGAAATGTCCTTCCCTCTTCAACGTACATTTATAATATTTCACAATTGTTTATCCTTTGTCTTGCTTAACTGTAATAATGGTAATGTAATAATAACAGTGAACTAAGTTACCTCTTATTTCCTGGAGTCAGAGGTTGAATCAAAACTGTTAATTTACAAGCTGTAAAACCAAGGCAACAGGCCAACTTTCTAAAATATGTTGGAACTTGTAGGCTACTTCATAACTGTCTCCAGGTTTGTCACTACGAGTTACTTCTTTCACATTACATGTAGTCATTTGATATCCCTGTTAATATTAAAACATTCATTATGGCAGCTTTAAATGGTTAACTGGCTTTAAAGCCTCATATTCTGTTCACTTAACTACTTTAGAACAATACAATCCTACTTCCACTAGTAATCATTTACTATACTTTAAGCAGTCTCAGTACAAACAGTACCAGGTGATTCAGACGCACAGTTTTTCCTGTTCACGCACAAAGGAAAGAATTCAGTGGCCAGTCCAGTTTTAATGTAGGAGATGTGATCAACAATTTTGCAAAGATTCTAGAAAGAACTGTGTCCAAACAGCTGCTCACTGTATTGGAAAATAACAAATTATTTGAAAAATTTCAGTCTGGTTTTAGGAAGTACCACAGCACTGAGACTGCCTTGCTTAAAGTCACCAATGACCTTTTAATGTCTGATGATGAAGGTATGTGCTCAGTCCTTGTACTCCTGGACCTTAGCGCTGCTTTTGACACCATTGATCACAACATCATGTTAGACAGACTGAGGCACTGGGTGCGGATCTCTGGTACTTCCCTAGAATGGTTTTCATCCTACCTGTCAAATAGGAAGTTTTGTGTGTCTGTAAACAACTATGTCTCCTCATTCTGTCCAGTTAAATATGGTGTGCCTCAGGGGTCGGTCTTAGGACCCATTTTGTTTTCCTTGTATCTGCTTCCCCTTGGACATATTATCCATAAACATGGCATTTCTTTTCATATTTATGCTGATGACACACAAATATACTTGCCCGTCAGATCCACAGACCCTGGAATTTCCTCCAGCTGAACTCGGACAAAACAGAAATCCTGGTCATCGAGTCTCAGCAGATGGCAAATCAAATACTGCCATCTGCTGGTTCCCTAGTAAATCACATTAAGCCTGTGGCAAAGAACCTTGGTGTTTGGTTTGATAGTAATTTAAATTTCGAGCAGCACACCACAAAGCTTGTTCAATCATGTTTTTATCAACTTAGAAATATAGCAAAAATTCGATCTATGTTAACTTTTAAGGACACCGAGACCATTTTACACGCCTTCATCTCATCACGCCTGGATTATTGCAACAGCCTTTTCACCTGTTTAACCCAAAAATCTACTGATCGACTCCAGACTGTCCAGAACTCAGCTGCCAGGCTTTTAACCAGAACAAAGAAATATGACCACATTACTCCTATTTTAGCTTCATTACACTGGCTCCCAGTATGTTTTAGAATTGACTTTAAAATTCTATTGATCACTTTTAAAGCTCTTCATGGCCTCTCGCCTTGTTATATTTCTGAACTGTTAGTCCAATACACACCAGCACGTACCTTGAGATCCTCGGGCAGAGGTCTGTTGTCTGTTCCAGAGTCTCGACTGAAAACTAAAGGGGACAGAGCGTTTGCAGTCAGGGCCCCGAGGCTCTGGAAAAGCCTGCCCGAGGAAATCAGGTCGGCTGAGTCAGTGAACTCTTTTAAGTCCCTTCTTAAAACATACTTTTATAGGACAGCCTTTCCCGATCTTATTTGACTTTATTTTATCCCTTTTATTTTATTGTATTTTACTAATTTTATATTAATTTTTCATGCTCTTATCTTGTTTTTTGTTTTTTTGTATTATTCTTTACACTTGTTAAAGCACTTTGTAACTTGTTTTTGAAAAGTGCTCTACAAATAAGGATTATTATTATATTATTATTATAATTTCTACAATGGCTACTATTTAGACCCTATGTGTAATTAACTGCTTGTAACCATTAAGTCACAAGGATTAAAGCTAGGGTAGCTATTAATTTAAGAGGCATTTTTGTTATATTTGTCAAAATTCTCATTGCATCCTGATAGCAATCAACAAATTAAACGCTCTGACGCAACAGTGAAAAAAATCTGATATCTGTTGCTGTCGCAGGACTGTAATAAGCACAGCCAATCATTTAATTTAGTCTGAACTAAACGATTGGCAGGCCTACCTGTTTGCCTACGTGCTTACCTGTGCGCACTCTGCCTGTGCACACACACATGAAAATGTGTTTTTGTGGTTTTGAGGAAGGCATGAAGGGAGGGGTTGGGATTTTTTCAGTTGAATGCTTTTAAAATCTGGCTGTCTCTTGATAGTTCTCCAACTGTACCCACTAAAGTAAAACTTACATATAGCTGCTGCTGACAGACACTTAGTAACGACAAGAGGAGGAGTACAGCCAGGGTAGAAAGGAGTGGAGGCATATTCTGCAAAGCTCAGTGTGATGATGGCAAAGGAGGAGGGCTTCAGCACCATGACAGTGGTCCAGGAGTAAAGGTAGGCTACAAGGGAGCCAAACGCCTCCATTAAATACGAATACTCTCCTCCCGATTTGGTGATCATGGTGCCAAGCTCAGCATAGCACAGTGCCCCTGTGTAGCCACACATACAGATGGAGACAGAAAGAAGATGACAGATGTAAAACAATGTCATGGGGAGACTTTCAGAATTGCTTTAGGTAGAAAATACAAGAAAGGTTCAGAACTTTCTCCTACCAAGAAACACTGGGTTTAAACAAACTCTCTGCCAAACACCCTCAAAGTCACAGCCAGTCATATTTTAAATCTTAAATCCATGTTAATAACTTTACTCTAAAATAAAGTATAATAATGCAACCAAAATGATACGAATAAAGGTGATTAATGGTAAGAATTTATATGTTTTTATTTTCTATCGAAAAGGAAACACACACACACACACGCTTACTGTTTTGTTTATTTATTTTATTTTTAATATTTTTTTTAACACACACACACACACACACACACACACGCTTCTGTGTGTGTATTTATTTTATTTTAATTTTTAATATTTCTTCTTTTTGGTTTATACAAACACACTTTGATAACTTTACGCTTTAATTACTTGTTTAATGAAATGTATGGGATTGATTGTTCTTATGTTGTATGCAATATTGTTGTCACACATTCATGCAAATAAAGCTAATTTGAATTTGAATTGAGATAAAGTAATTAAAGAAAATATATGACTTTAGAAACAAAATTGTTAGGATGTGCTGTTGTTTTTTCCTGTCTTTATTTGATATTGTCATGATTTGGAGTTTTGTAGTCTAGTTTATTATTTTGTTCATTCGCTTTAAGTTTTTTTAATAACTGTCTTGTCTCTCATCTTAGTTCTTAGTCCTGTGCTTTAGTTCATGTTTAGTGTTTTCTTGGTCGATGTACTTCTGTGTTTTATTACTTATGGCCTGTGTCTTAGTCCTTAGTCTTATACCTCCATGTTTTAGTGTAGTCTTGTCTCCTGTTTGGTCCCGTCTCTGTCCGTGCCCTGATTTTGCTGTCTTTACATGTTTTGTGTTTTACTTTGGTAGATCTGTCCTTGTGTGTTCCTGTGAACTTTACTTCCTGTTTTATTTTGGTAATCTTCTCTGCCTGGTGTTCTTGTCTAGCTTTGTTCCTGTTGTTAGTGTATTGTCTTATGATTAGCTTATCTCTGCCTTTGTTTTTGTACTTTGGTTCATGGATCTGTGTCTGCTTGAGTTCTTGGTTATTTTGGTTCATTCTTTTTTAATTTGGTTGTGGTTTGTGTCAGTTTCTCTGTGTGCACTTTGATTCAGTGATTCTGCTCATTGTGGTACTTCGGTCAAAGCATAGAGGACCTGTTAATTAATGCTTTTTTCCGCGATAAAAATTCAAATTCAGTGTTTTTGTTAAATTTCAGTGTAATAATTCAAGAGTTGTGTTGACACAACAATTACACTTACAAGTCATTATGTCTGGGGTCCTCCACACTGGAAAATTGTGTTTCCCACTTAACAGTATGTTTGTGATGAATTTGATGAATTATCTTAAATAGCTAACTGGGCCTTAAAAACACCAAGAACTCAAATCGCTGACGTCCTACCCATGGTTTTTCTTATGCTTTGTCCACCACCATTTAAATAAATATGGGGGAAAGAATATTTTACCCCAATACAATAACACCACTGACCTCAAAGATTACAAAAATGAATGCGTATTACATCATAAGATCTGTTGTTTTTGTGTCTGTGTGTTTTGCATTATGTACAGTGCTCTGTGAATCTCAGAGCGAGTCTGTTATTCAGAGACAAAAATCTAAATATAGAAATAGACATTAAAAGTTTATTAAAAGGATGTTATTGGTTTGGTATGCCGTTCTCACCCAGAGTGGCTAACACGCCACAGGCAGCCCAGATGAGGAGGCAGGGTCCCACAGCTCCAGAGTACAGTAGGACAGCCTTAGGAGAAATGAAGATGCCCGAGCCTATCATTGTTCCCACAATCAGACAGATGCCACTAAACAGACCAACCTGAGCACACATGAAGAAAAAATGGCAGAGGTGTCACTTCAGTGGTCATATTTGAACTTTCTTGAACGCTGTCTTCATTGAAATTGTTGTTTCACTCATTTTTTTCATGTTTTGTTCTGTGCCGTTAGATGTCAATAGTGTTTAAAACATTCTGGGATTTGCATTGTGATAAAGTATCCACTACACCAAAGCTAAAAGGCGAGTGACTATTAGACACCAGTGTCAGGTGACTGAAACACAACTCGGACAGGATCCTGTCTTTGCTCTGTGTACAATGTTACAAACACTACCAAGCAATAGTATCTTAAATTACTTAATACAGCTTAAAGTATATACACCGCCACCTTATTAGGTACCTCTCGCTAGTACAAGGTTGCTATCTGGGGACTGTGGAGGCAATTTGAGCACAGTGAACTAATTTTCATGTTCAAGAAACCATTTTGATCTTTGTGACATGGTGCATTATCCAGCTGGAAGTAGCCATCAGAAGATGGGTACACTTTGGCCATTAGGGGATGGACAAGTTCAGCAACATTACTCAGATAGGCTGTGTACCTAATCAAGTGGCTGGTTAGTGTTTATGTTAACATCCTAGGTTTGTTTCAAAATGTAAGCCCATTATCTGAGCACACAAAAACTTAATAACCACCATCATGTGAGTTTTTCCAATTGTTAAGTGGAATCGATGTTTGGGAGGAATCCAGATTCAACCCACATAGGCAACACATACATGTCATGGATTTTAACACGATGGACTCTTTTTCCACACATGCATACATGGTTCTTTCTCGGCTACCGCAACTATCTCCCTTGCACTCTCACAATCTCGCGTTTTTTCTGAACATACTACAACAATAAATAAAGAGCATCCTATTCTGCAACAATGAACCACGAGCGCCCCATGATACAGCAATGAACCATAAGCACCCCCTCGTCATCACATTACAACATAAGAAACAACACATGCATTATAAGCCATAAGCATTACAGTCACCTTGAATAGGTTACTTATTAGAGTAGAGTGAGGGGAAATTAGGTTCTAATTATTCATTGTTTAGAAAAATGATCATAATAACCCTAATTTAACCAGTGAAACCCTTTCAGCTTTAGGGCTTAGGGAGCTTAGGGGGCCTGGACAGCACCACTGAGTAGAATATTGTGGAGTTAATAAGTAGAGACGGTTGTTGTGGTACTGCCTGGTACTCAGTTTCCACTCCCATTAAGGCAAAAAGGTACAAATGGTGGGATCCTACGGTGTGAACATCTAATGAGACTTGTTCTCAGGAGCAGACACACACACATTCAAAGCCAGATAAGTACACACTCACATCTTTTTGAAGCACAGTAGCCTTCACAGGCTGCTTGCCTGCGGTCTGACAGTCCACGCTGTGGCTGGTGGAGCCATTCTGCGACTCCTTCCTCTTCCTGATGCTGCCTTTATCCATTTCAGTCTGCTAGTGCATGAGAAAACAAAAATCAATGCATCTTACACAAGACAAGATGCATTGGTCTGTGTTGCATAGTTAAGTTACCTAAACCAGTCTTTATGATAAGGTATGATGGGGTTTACAGGGAAACACTGTCCCCTACTACAGGCAGTACAATTTCTCTCATCTAGCTAAACAATGAGGCTCACACAAACAAAACAAGTGAAAATCCACTTAAAACCAAATGTATTTGCCTTGTTAATCCTGTGATCTTACTTACTGTATTACTGTAAAAAAGGCACTGATCTGGATACTGCAAAAATTCTGACTTTGAGTCTGCACAGTGTTTCGTTTCTAGTTGATAACTATTTCACTGTGGCACAGTGGTTCTGAACCACAAACCTACCTACACTGAGTGATCTCTTACAGCATAGTGAGTGGAGCAGTTAAAGACAGGCTTGACAGGTTTAGTCTTTTGGAGAGACTTCATCTCCAGAAAATCAGCTGAACTTCTGGATTCGGATTTAGTGTTTTACCCCTAATACAACGACACCACTGTCCAAATTTCTGCACAAGGGGCTACCATGAGGCTATTTTTTTTTACTTGTGTGATGTCTCAGCCAGTCTGAGTACATGTCAAGAATTTTCTGTGGTATGTTAGTACTAAAATATGCAGACTAATGGTGTGTTTCCAGGACAGGAGTGGTTGAAAATGGGTTTGTAAGAGTAGTGAAATTGGTTTTTTTTCCACACCAATGATGCTCTCAAAAAGTTGTGTTTGTCCACACTTACATGGGAAAAAATGTAAGTTTCTGCACACACTTAACATTGCTGCACTGATATATTTAAAAAGTTGACCTTTCAGTCACTAAGTCCTTTCTCAATACACTTACCTACATGCACATGCATTTCACACTCCTGTAATGATTAACTTAACTTAATTTACTTACGTGAATGCCTAACAAACATGAGAACTTTCTTGTTTACTAAATATATAATAATGACAAAATGTCTTGAATGTAAGGATCATCTTTGAATTTGACAATGACTTTGTTAAGGTATTACTTGATACATGATAATAAATAAATGAATTAGTATTTCAATGTTTCACTTACATGACTGACTCAGATGAAAACCACCTCAGTGATGCTCCATGAACCCTGAATGTGGCTGTTTTCAAGCCCAGGTATAGACCCACAAATGATACTGAGCCAAGTTAAGCAGGAATGTGTAATACAAATGAAAACCTGTGGCTCCTTGTGACTGAGCACACTCCTCCAGTGGGAGGTTCCCGGTTCTGATTGGACATCTTGGACAGCCCTGGACGAAAGGGAGGTGGGTAACGTGTGCCCACCATAGTTCAGTTTACCTGCTTGTAAAAAAACATGGAATTTTCATCTCGTTTTTTCTTTAGATTTGAGTGTTTGAACTATATTATATGTTTTTGATGTATAATTATATATTTGTGTGTGTCATTTCAACAAACTATAAAATATACATTGTCTGACTGAAACAGTAATTTATAATAAGAATAAAGTGAGAATATGACTGCAGCTTTTACTTAGCTGTTGTGGCAAGTTGCAGTAACAAGAGCATGTGAGAATGCCATTACACATTTTATAATTACATAATTATTAATTGTATTTTGAGACAAATCTCTGTCGCTCTGTCCGACGATCCCATGAAGATGCTGCAAGGACTCACAAAGTTAGGTGCGACTAGTCCAATACAAGACATTTCAGCTGTGTATTGTTCTATTGGGTTTTTCTCTGAATTTTATTCACACTGTCGACACTTTTGGAGAAAGTTTCAAATTTCAACAGAAATCTCTGAATCACTTCCTCCTCTCTGACCTTACCTAGCCTGACTTCCTTCACAATGCTTCTTTGATAAGGATATGTGACACCCCTGCATGTGTGTATGTGTGTGTTTGTGTGTTACATTCCCTTTCTACTCTGCAGATCCTTCTCCTCTCTTTTCTCCAAAGGTCTCTCTCTGTCAGAGAACTTGCATAATCTGTAATGTTCTCCATTCTGTTTATTTTTTTGAGACCATTGGACACCATTATATCCTTTGAAATGAGAAATGGTTGAGCTAAATATGAGAAGAAAAAAGGTATACACTGAAGTGTGCAGATCTGTAGTTTATTTACTAGCACATATATGGCTTTTGAGTACAAACTGCTATGTGACTGCAAGGCATGCTTTAAGTTTCTTAACATGTAAAAACAAAAGTAGGAGCAACTTCAATAATTCAGCCTTTGATGGATGTGCAGGGTGTAGTATGATAACATTCTCAGTGATAAACAAAAATTACAATATATATGTTCTGTATAATAACAGTACACTATTTATTTACACTATTTATAATACTGTAAAAGTGAATACAATGCGAGTCTAATAGGAGCATTAGGATTCAATTTCTGTGTTTGATCTCAAAGATGACATCCTCAACAAAATTATATAGGACATATACAAATAGTCAAATGACAACAATCTCGACGTTTTACTGTCTAATCCACCATTGATTTGTAACACTGACTTCCTCTGGTGGCTGCAGCTTCCGAGGCGCTGCAAAACAATGGACATATTTTTATGAAGCCTGTAAGAGAATTTGAGCAGTTGCCGCAAACACAGTTGCCACAGACAGACAGCCTTGCCTGCACATGGTAATCTGCTAACACAAGAACACATTGGCATATGAACTCAGTAACCCTGAGACCAAGAACTTCTGACCAATAACAGAGTGGAAGTTTTCAGGCACGTTCACTGGGGCTTAGGATCTGACTAAAGGCATTTACGGCAACAAATTCATTCTTGGGGAGCCTGTGTACTTTCAGTGTGCTGCATTTTCAAGGAATATTTCCTCCCTCAGTTAGTTGAAACTGAGGGAGGAAATATTCCTTGAAAATTAGAACATAGTTTGTCAGATAGAGTGTATTTATTCACTTTATTGTGACATTCCAGGTTAACAGATTTGTAGACTGTATCTGTGTATGAAACATATTCAGAACCTTTTAACACAGAGACTATTTGCCATCACTGAAATGTCCAACATACATAATGCTGAAGTGAGAGTTTGAGTTAAAATGTGTAAAATTTTAATTAGTTACAGCAACAGAGTTTGGATTGGATTACATTTACTCATTTAATGACGCTTTTATCCAAAGCGACTTACAATAGCTATACATGTCAGCCTCTGGAGCAACTAGAGGTTAAGAGTCTTGCTCAGGGACATCCAACGGTGGATGTCTCACAGTGGGAATCGAACCCAGGTCTCCCACACCAATGGTTCATCATTACATACATCATTGATTACATCATGCAAAATGACAAACTTCAAATGATTTAAACTTTAAAGGACATCTTATGAACATGTAATAAAAAATATTTGATGATAAAGAATAAAAAAGGCATCATGTCCACATTAATACATATTTTATTGTAAATAGGCCAAACATCCACTAATGTGTAGAATGCCATATATGGCAGCCATTTTGAACAAGAATGCTTGCCACACATCAGTTTGAGGTGGAGTGTGAAACACAGAGCCCAATTTACTGGGAGATGATTAGTTGACCAGATGAAGAGAGTCAGGTTGGGAAGCACCGCCTCACTTCACGGGGGCATTGGGATTATTTAATTAATTTGATTATTTCTTATATTCTTATATTTTTACATGATCACTTCTTCTGCAAGTACTGCTGAGGGCATGATTGTCTTTATGATAGATTTAGACGATTTAGAGTGTTAAATGAAAAATTGAATTGATTTTGTCCACAGCAAAATTTACACCGAAATGATTATGGGGAAACATTTCAGACAGAAACAAATCAAATGAATAATGTATTTGTTTTTTTCATTGCATTTTGGTACTTCCCAATGCTGACATGATGTCAGTCTATATGAGCAAGTGGTGGTGGGGGTGGTGGGGTGTTGTTGAGGGGCGGGGGTGATATAGTCTACCATACTAAGAGCTGTAAGCAGCGACCCGCAAGAAGTAATGTGCAAAAGAGAAAAAAAGGAACCAGGAGTTAAACAGATGTATTGATCAATGTCATTCAATTTTCTGTTAAATCAATAGCTGTTGGGATTTCTTGGCTTCCTGATTCATCCAACATGTTGTTCAAAACATACCAATTATTAGATTTGGAATATATTGAGTTAAAATAAATGAAAATGCACCAGTTCCATGAAATAGCCTGCACACTGAAAGAAAGCTAGACGAATTAAAGAGAGGCTCTTTAGGGGTCAGCTGCATCTCTGAAGCTATTGCTGTCGGCAATTTACTGGCCTTACAGTTAAAAAATTTTCCTGCATAATTTCTTTTCCAACCGCAAATAAACACTAAAGAGGAAGAAGCAGTCTCTCTGCAGCTCTGTAGGTCAATAGTATGAAGCTGCAGTGCTGGAGGCTGCAGTTTCAGGACCCTAGTTCTTTTGCGACGGCGCCATCTAGTGGAGTGGTGGTGGTAATAAACAGCAACACGAAGGAGATTAACCCTGTCTGCTAGCACGTAGGCTGTGAGGCTGGCAGTATAAAAGTAAACAAGAGTCCTGGAATTCAAGGATGTAGGAGCAACTTTGAATATGGGGGGGACGCAGAAGGGCTAGGGGGGTTCGGGTGCATACCCCCCTGATTTTTATTTTAAAGTACTTAAATGCTCATTTCTAATGACTTTTGAAAACAGAATGTACGTATTAGTGTGGCTCAAAGAGGGTATTTGCAGTGACAGAAGATGGAGAACAGACTGGAGAGGGGAGATTATGAAAACTCGGTGCAGTTTAATATAACTTGAACAAAACCGACTACATACAATAAAAACCATGGAACAGCTGCTAGTTAATGTAGCTAGCCACAGTACAATTGTATTCAGTTATCCTGATGTTACACCTGTGAGCTGTCTGTGATATTTCCTGTGTCGCACTTGGCCCTGAGTCTCCCTGCAACAAATAGTTGTGAACACAGAACTGTCTTCAATGCAAACTCTGAAGACATGGCAATGGCCTAACAAAATCTTTTAAATATTAGAATATACAGTATGTCTAGTAGATATCCATACAACTTACAAGCTCATCCTCCTTGGTTATTTCTACTCCTACTCCTGTGACCTCTGACCTCTTCCTCTTAAAATACTGCAGGATGCTCATCTCTATGTAACAATTTTGACTACTTTTAAATAGTTTATGGACATGTAGCAGAGACACATGTACACCTCAGGACAGGGTTTTAAGGTCAAGGACAAAGGCAAACAAATGGCCCAGGAGTTTGTCCCTGGTCAGCCCACCCTCCTGACAAAGCATTTGTCGGGGCCTCTGGGACTTTAGAGACCTTTATGCAAGTTCAGTACATAACTAAATGAGCCTTTAAAATACAATTTCAAAACTCCTCTCTAACTCTCCTAAAGTGCTGCTATTGACCTCATCTCTGCTGTCTGTCATGTTCACCATGTCAGCACTATTGGTGCTACTCAAAATCTTTACTGAAGAAAAAGTCCAATTACTCCCATAAAAATTCAATCAAGTAAAAGAAAAGAATTACAAACCTACTCAAGTAAAAGTAATATATATTAATAATATATTTAATCTGCTGTTCATCAGGTTAGAAACAGCTGAGCAACATGGTTATTTCTAGGGAATGCAAATTGCTGTGCTTGTTGATTAATTTAACTATTTCTGTTTAATACAATTATTTACCTTTTTAATTTCCATGAACTTATTCATAAGATCACTTTAAAATATCAGCTTGCTTCCTAGCCACTGTTGTTGCCTGTATATTTTATTATGAACATGCAGTCAACCAAACCACTTGGTTTGCAGTAGTACAAGTAGCCAAAATAATCTGATTATTCCTAAAGCAACTAAATAATCTTTACAACGTCAAGAATGATTGTGGCAGTAACACGGAGCAGCTCGTTGTTGAAGCAGGTAAACCTGCATACAGAGGAACCTGAGCGTCATGCGTAAAGCCCAACAGGACTGTTTTATCCACCATATTTTCTCTCTCGGTGCATCTAAAAAATGATTGCTTCCTGAATAAATAACAGTTAGTAGCTGAAAAATTTGTTTCACCGGCGACATTTTGTTTAATGGACTCATCGCTATAAAACAAACTGTAACCAATGTGAACGAAACAGTCAGTCAAAATAAAGCGATGCTCTTTTCAACAACAGGATACTGTTAATGTATCAGAATCAATCCGGTGATCATCTGTCTTAGATGTTACAGTGTGAAGTCTACCTTTGCTCTGCATTGAGTGAATACGCTTTAACTGCGCCGTTAATGGAAAGTGAAAGTATTTTTTACCGGCTTGATAAAGAGCGATGCAGGCTCCTTTCCAACACGGCCAGCAGTGCCATGGTGTGCGCTCACTGGATTTCAGTCGTATTTGTAGAACAATAAAGCCTTAAAATGAAAAGACACTTGCCTGATTTTCTAAATGTTTGCATCTGTGACTGTGACAAGCACCCGACGGCAGGGCTCTTCTGCGTAACTGCGCGCACACAGCCTGGTGACAGCTCATTGTGGTTAATGTAGCCTGATGCATATTAGGCCTACAGACTGATTAAATTATGAAGGTATCAATCAAAATGTAGCGCAATTAAAAGTAGATTACTGGCCTAAAGAAAATTCTAGAGTAAAGAGTAAAAGTACAGTTTTAAAAAAGGATCATGAAAATGTGCCAATGACTTTGTTTATTTTATTTATTCATTTTGCAACTTTTCGTTACTTGTAACAAGTCTAACTACCCACCCTGCTGCAGGCCTCTTTTTCTCCCTTGAGTTTTCAGCACCACCTTTGTGTGGTGTCTGACTTTTTCTAGAGGCCTAACTTTAGGCTACATGTTTTTTGTCAGCTTTTCAACCGTTTAATCATGTTTGATACAGAGTGTGTGATTGATTGACTAGTCACTCAAACCGCACCGGCTATAAGCGAACTCCGAAATCACCTGAAAAAAGTGAGGGGGACTAAACATCGATTTTGAAATGTGGGGGGGGGGGACATGTCTCCTAAGCGTATTCTGGAATTGCAGTTCCGGCCCTAGGATTGCGGTCCTGAACCTGCAGCCTCCGGTACTGCAGCTACATGCTACTCCTGTAGGTGGCGATAGCAGCTCGTGGCAGATGTGCTCTTGTCATTCCTCAATTACGTCACTTCCACCCAAACAAATGCAGCTGGGCAGCGAGGGACCGTGACTTTCAGAAGCGTGGAGTGAAAATAACGAAAGCTCGCTGGCAGTATGAACGCGGCTCTGAAGCACTGGAAGGAGGCGGCAACTCTTATTTTAGCCGCGGGCCAGAGGCTCGGCACGCACACTGTACCGTCAAGGACACCGCTGGGCAGCAGCCTTGGACGGTCACACCTGCCCCACAAGTCCTGCTTTGATTACGACGTTTTACTGCTTAAACGAAGCAGTAAAAGTGGATTCATGCCCAATGCGTACGTGTTTCCCGGCGGCACGGTGGACTCCTCGGACTTTTCCAGTGAATGGCTGGACATTTTCAAATCTTTCAGGAACTCGCCCAATTTTGGTTTGAGTAGTGTCAAACAGCCTGCGGAGACTAGACCTCCAATCTTCGCCACAGACCGACTAAAACTGGGCTCTCCTATCCCGGGGGAGGTCGCCTTCCGCATCACCGCCTTGAGGGAGACGTTTGAGGAGTCCGGTGTGCTCCTGGTCGTGTCTAAACTGGAGGAGAGAAGTTTGTTAAAGAGCATAGAGGACAGGTGTGCCACTGATCAAGTGCTGCATTACAAAGTTAACGAGCTGTGCAGTAGTGAACTCGCAAAGTGGAGGGCTCTGGTAAACCAAAACCCCTCCAACTTCGTCAGGATGTGCAGGGAGTTGGAGGTGTTGCCTAACATCTGGGCTTTACATGAGTGGGGCAACTGGCTGACTCCCACAGCCCGATACGGTGTGACGAGGTTTGACACAGTTTTCTTCATCTGCTGCCTGCAGGAGATCCCACACACACTTCAAGACGAGAAGGAAATCGTGCGCTTTCAGGTGATGACTTTATAATATGAATACATTTATATCAAGTCATGTTCATACAATAGGGGAAATAAAAAAAATGTATTCCAAAGAATAAAATGAGTGAAAGTGTACAGGCTATAATAAAAAATGCAATCATTAAAGCTGAAACAAAATGTTGATTAATCAGTCAGCAGAAAATGAATCATAACTATTCTAATGATGTCATTTCTTTTTCTAGCATGTGCTCAACAGTCTCTGGTCCCAGCATCAGTTGTGTGGATTTTCTGCTCTCTGGCAGTCTTGTGTGATAGTGAGACAGCATAAATCCTTTTTTGGCATACATAAATGGAATGGTGGTATGGGTTTAGGAATGCACACAGTGTTTCCATTACATAGATTGTCCACTAGAGAGCACTGACAATGCAATAAAACATTTTATTCAGTATGCATCTAGGGCAGGGCGATATGGTCATAAATGTTATCACCTTAAAAAATGTCTCATCAGTCGATCTCGATGACATTATTTCTATCAAGTTGAAAGGCTGATTTTTGCTCCGGGGTGAAAGTTGAAGAAACCAGATGGTTTTAAATATTCTTTATGGTCCGAACAAACACTGGATGCCAAAAAGTGGATCACTTCACAAATCTCAGGAAGAACATTCAGAACAATTATGACAAAATTGTTTTTCAACAAATATGCATGAGTAAAATTTTTTCAGTCTCTTTTCCTACAAAATACCTCTGGAGCAACTAGGGGTTAAGTGTCTTGCTCAGGGACACAATGGTGGATGTTTCACAGTGGGAATTGAACCCAGGTCTCCCACACCAAAGGCAAGCATCGTATCTATGCACCATCACCACCCTTATAACATAAAGATGTCACTTTGGACTACAAGAAATTGTGCTGGCATTTTTCTATCATTTTCTGAACCAAACAATAGATAATTTATCAATGGATTGACATAATTGTCAGATTAATCAATTATGAATATATTTTTTTAGTTGCAGTAGTAATCCTAATAATTGATTAAAACTGCTCAGAAGATCATTGGTAACCATCTGCCAAGCATCAGTGATATCTGTGAGATGAGGTGCCTATGCAGAGGCCAAAGGAAACAAAAGGACAGTACCCACCCTGCCACAGCATGTTCACCCTGCTGCCTTCTGGGAAGAGATATAGAAGTTTCTGCTGCCATACAACCAGACTGCAGAGCAGCTTTTTCCCCCAAGTTATCAGACTCTTAAACTCTAATTCATCCTCAGCACTGCTCCACTGAATATAGTTTATTTCTGTTTACCATTTTTATAATTGATGCAGTATTAATGTATATGGTCTTCTATGTAGCAGAATGGAGTTACAAAACTCAATTTCATTATATAACCTGTTATATTGTGACAAATGTACCTACCTACCTATACAATTGACCCTTCGCTAAGCAACGCCCCGAACATGCGGGTGGCCAATCGCAGCGCAGTATAGGACTCGCTCTAACTGAAGTCTGCCACTTTCATGGCCGCGCTCCATTGACTCTAATGTAAAACAAGTTGTTTTCAAGCTTTCTTTTGCAGTATTTTTCCAAGATATGGTCAAACACTGTTCCTGCCAAGTGTTGTAATAAACAGTGGCAGCGCCGTGATAAAAGGCTGTCAGGTCCGACAGCTTGTCGGACTTAGCAACAGTCACTAAGGGGGGCGTGGCTTAGTGAAGGGTCAATTGAGGAGACTCAAAAGCAGTTGTTCTGCTCTGGTTACCAGCTGTCTAGTGGTAAGAGGACAGATTAGACTGAGACAGCTGGTGTTACAGCTTATGCTAGGGAATAATAGTTCAAAACATAATTCAGCAAGTCCTTGAAATGAGACTGATAATGAGTTTCCAAAATTACTCAGTCTTGCTCCATGATTATCAAACTATGATGAATCGTAATGTGAAACACACTTGTACAGTTGTTAAACACTACCTCTCGCTGTGTGTTTCAGTGGTCCACCCCCCCAGAGGTCCTACAGAGCTACCAGGAACGGAAGTTGTGGATCGCCTCCCCACAGCTCTACGAGCTCAGCCGCATGTGCCGCTTCCCTTTGCTGAATGACCTCCACAATTTCTCCAGCCAGCGTGCCACAGAGGGCTGCGAACAGTGGCTGCCTGTTATTGTCTTAAAAGACGAACACTACATTTCACTGCTGCCAGGTGCTGATTGCCTATTTCATGTAATCCACATCCAAATGAGTGTTGAAACATAGCAAATGGATGTTTGGCTGCACTAAATGATATTATACTGCTGGTATGGTTGCACTTAATTATGTATTTAGTGCAGCTTTATAAGATGGCTCATGAATGTGAAGCAACATTCTATATGAGGGGGCTGAAACCTACACACACTCTACACTTTCTACAATGTCAGTCACCGCTTTTAATACAGGTTGCACATTGAAGGCAAACATGACTGGCCTTACCAATGTAGTATTGGTACAAATTCTCAATTCATTCGACTTTCTTGAATCTATGGAACACAGTAGTCTTTCTATTTAATTATTTTTTGCAAAGAAATAGCAGTAGGCTACTCTACATTATGTAAGCATTGTTCCTGGCTCCAGAAAGCCCAGCTAACTGATTAATGAATTTTTTATCTTGCATTTTTATGTTGTGGTTGGGTTCAGGGTCCTGGCCGTCTCAGTCATGTATCTTTAATTAAGCTAAGCTTCTTCTTCCCTTTGTTCTTTTCTGCTGTTACCCACTACTTTACGAAGATAATGTTGGTGATTACTGTGAAATGGTAACATGAATTCTTATGATAGATTAACCATTTGTTTGTCTACTCTTTCCAGGTGACAAACTGTACCCTTCAGGAGAGGCTGAGGGGGATTCGAGCACCGACACTCAGCTGGAGGATCCTCAGGATGATTCTGGACTGAACCGCATTGTGATCTCAGATCCATACACTGCAACTCTACAGGTCACCATCACGCCCAAGTACAATCATCTGCTCCCTGTTGTAGAGCAAGCCTTCCCACATGACTCAGAAAGCAAGCCTTGACTTTGAGCCTACACGTTGTACGAGCCCTAAAACTGCTCTGCAATGCATATAATTTTTGTACCATTATTATTTAAAGCAGCGGTCTGAAGCACTGCTTATGGAAATATCAAATGGGCCTTTTTCACAGCAGATATTTTGACTTGTCATGGTAGGAAAAGCACAGGTGTTACTAATAACACTTAAAATGGCTCTGTTCTATTCATGTGACATAGGAAGGAGGCAGACACGTGTGGTGACTACTCGCAGAGCTAGTTAGTGAACTGTTGTAGCTGGCAAGCTAACCGCCAGTCAATCACAATACCTTCCGGAGGGTATCTCCATTGTCTCTCTCCTTTTTTGCGTTCTCCAGTAACTTAAATAAAAATGTGCAAGATGAAGAGGGAACATTAAGCTCTCTGCTGCTACGAGCCAGCTAACAGGACAGGAAATTCAGTTTAGTCAAAAGATGTATTTGTATCATTGACTCCTGTCTCAAAACTACTACAATTCCTCCATTTTTGTCTCTCTGGCGTTTCCTCCCCACAAAGGTCAGCACAACCCAGACATCTTGCTATACTGTAAAAGTTCACCAGTGTTGAACTCTACGTGGACCTCGCACAGATTAATTTTGCGTGTGTGTGTGTGTGTGTGTGTGTGTGTGTGTGTGTGTGTGTGTGTGTGTGTGTGTGTGTGTGTGTGTGTGTGTGTGTGTGTGTGTGTGTGCGTGCGCGCGCGTGCGTGCGCGTGCGTGCGTGCGTGCGTGCGTGCGCGTGCGTGCGTGCGTGCGCCCGCCCTCCCAGTAGGAGTGCATATGTCAGTGGTGGATGCACTGTAGGACTTCCACCCTTTCTCCTTTGGGTTTCTTCCCTGCTCACAGAGGTGTCCTTCATGGCAAATTGATAACTCATAAGAAATGATCTCTGTCATAGGTTGTACCCTGTGTCTGCCATTTATAAATTCATTTATTATTAAATGGATCAATTTATTCATTATTAATTTGGTCTTTTCACTGATGCTGTCTCAAACTGCTTTTTGGTGATTTGTGCTTATTATTACATTATCAAAGTCCAAGTCAGCTTTATTGTCAATTTCTCCACATGTACCGGACTGGCGTTTCTCACTAACCAACCCACGCTGAAATAAAATGCACAAACAACTAAATTTAGAATAAAAACAAAGTACTTAAAACCAGACAGCAAAGAGAAACTTTCTGTATGATATAAAAATAGTGCAACATTGCTATATACAAAAACAGCAACAAAACCAGGTTCAGTAGAGAGGTAAACACGTTTGGTATTTGGTAATGCAAAATGTAAGATATCCTATGATATAATGGTGCAGAAAAAAAGGGGGGTCAGAGGGTTGGGGGTGGAAGAGAAGGGGAAAGAGTTCAGCATATGGTTCGTGCTGCATAAGGTGGTAGCCATGGAGTTGACATTGGGGGTGGGGGCAAATCTGCTGCGGGGGTCTAGGGGTGCGACCCCCCCCCCCCCCAAATCTCAAATTGTGAACTAATTCCTTGCCATTCCAAAATATTTAAAAATTCAGTAACACATGGGATAAAGTTTTAAATTATTATTCCCCCCGTAATGTATAAAAAGTGTCATATGACATTGCTATATTTTGTGCATTTTTTTTACCTTTTCCTTGTTTTATTGTATGTAATGCCAGAGACTAGGGATTCATAAAGTTCATAAAGTATAACCACAATCATATAAACAGAAATATATTATGCATTGCCTTGTATAAAGACAAGTCCAAATATTGTGGCCACGGTTTAGCAAATTGTTGTTGTTATTTACATATTTACAAGTAAATTGAGTGGACAGCAGGGGCGGTTACTCTGCTCTGCTTATTTTCTACTACTCCTATGTTCTCTCCTCTCTAGCCTTCTCTCCTCCTTTCTGGTCCTATATTCTGGTCCTCTCCTCCTCTCCAGTCATTTCTCATCCCCTCCCCTGCTCTCAAGTCATTTCTTGTCCTGTCCTCTCATTTCTTTTTATTTATTTAATTGTTTATTAATTAATCCACCAGCTCATTGCGAGACGATAAGCATTTATAAAGTTATAATTCCATAACACTTTTCAAAAACTATATAACAGTCAACAGTGATATAGCTTAAATAACATATTGCATTCAAGTTTTCCACTTTTGAATACATTTGAAAGTAATGAAATCAAGACAATATGGTGCTTGACATTGATTGTACCGACCCACAGCAGTGGCTTTTGGTGGGATGCAGCAACGCCACTTGGACAAACCACACACAGAACTGCAGTACACCGTAACACTAGAACCGGTAGTAATAATAATGGCAGTTTAGTAAATGTAATAAACTTAACAATCATTATTTCGGATGACAGAGCATGGTTCCCTGTCATAGCATAGCATTTTTTATATATATATATATATATATATATATAAATACGCACGCTGTGTGTAGTTGCAGTCGTATTTACCACGACCATCAGTCTGGTGGGTATAACTATCGTGAGTATAGTTCAGTAGTGCTGTGCCTCTGTCTTTTTTTAACTAGGGTTATAATACGCTTGAAACATTTTTAAAAAAGCATATTACATTTACAAACATATATTTTTAAGGAGCACAATTTCTATCCATAACTCGTCATCTTTTTGGCACAGAATCAACAAGTGCACTTTAGATGTGACAGAGTAGGCTGCTGAGGTGAGCAGAAATTTCCAGGAAGAGGTTCAATCAGGATGAGCGTTGAATAAACAGCATCAAAAATATATAGAAATAGATACGCAGAAAAAGAGAGGAAGAGGGGGAAAGATCTACAGAGTAATTAGATTTTGTCTCAAACTGATTTTTTAATCGATCTATAAAGTTGTTGTCTGCTTTGTTAGGAAAGGTCCCCTCACTCTGACCTGATGGGAACACTTCCTTCTTAAATTACGAGGCACACTAGAACAGGTCAGCACAGCTCAATCTGATTCATCTCATCTTTTTCACACATTTCATCTGCCAGCATGGGGGAGGATGCTGAGGTTTTGTTCCCCCCCTCTTCATCGCTGCCTTCCTTTGTCCTCGCACTACATCTCCTGCCTCAGGTGTGTGTGTGTGTGGGGGGGGGGGGAGCAGCAGAAAGGGGGTGAGTCAAAATAACACTGCTCAACCTTCTGTGCTGTTTGTGGCGGAGAGTCCATTGAGGGTTTCTATGGCAACCCACAGAAAACCCACCATCTTCGTCCAGATGAGGTGATGATGCAGTGGTCTGTCTCTGCCAAGTGTGTAGCTCGCCTCTCTATCATCCAGTATGCTTTAGTTTATGTGTCCAAGCAAATATAAAGCTCTGTCATGCTTAGTTTAAATAAAGCGCCTCCTAATATGTGTGAAGAAAGTCGATTTACTCACCTGTAAAGGGTCGATTTTTACACTCAATGAAGCAAATACTCTAAAACTTTGATACTGTGGGTATTTTGAGAAGCAGCTTGCATAACAGATTGCGACAAAATCATTTTAGCACACTTAAAACAGTCTGAAAGTTGCATCACAGCAGCCTTTTGCATGAACATTCCTCCTCGAAATGTGAGGGACAATTTCTGAAGTGCGGTGTTTCAGGGTGCTTTATCTCGTCCACGATTTAAATCCCCTCCCTTTCTTCCCCATGTTTAATTAATCGCCTTTATATTTTTGGATCTCCGCATGACAATGTAAGTCTGTCATGAATCTGGACATGACTCACTGTTAGCAGAGCTTGGTGCTTCTCTGAAATGACAACAAGGATAAACAAGATGTCAAAAAAGCCTGCTGTGAATCGGGTGTGAGCATAGTATGCCACTGATTTTCATGCCTCATGGTCCTGTCTTAAAATGCTCTCGACTCTTTGGCCTTTTAGGAGTGGAGCTATTCTATATTTAATTTTCTATATATATATTTTTTTTTATGTTATATTAATGTTTTTCCACAGGTTTCTAATGTCAGGAGGCTGGAAAGGCACAGACAGAGTGGGCATAAAACACAGTGGATAACAGGAAAAGGCATTTAAGTAGTTACATTTAATGTCCCAAATGATTGATTGCTATCTTAATCTGGAACTTCCTTACATAGCTTTATTTAACACTTGCTAGGTTTTTTTAATATTAATAAATATAATGTAATACTAGAAATGTTATTTTGTTGCGTGCAATCCATTACTCTCACAAGGAGTCAGGATCTGCCTAGAAGAGGAGAGTAGTCTTAAATAAATGTGATCTTTTGAGATTATTGCATACTTCAACAGCCTGAATTGTCTTTAAATGATGGGGGTCTATTCACCGTATACTATTACCAAAAAACCTCCTCAAGAATGAGGGAGGTCAGTTTAGAGCTTGTTTGATGTGCAAATGTCAAGCTGCCAGCAGTTACAACAGACTTTTCATTAACATTCACATTGGAGCAATAATTCAACAAGCCAGCTGATGTGAATAGAGAGAAACCAAATCCTTACAGTAACATCTCAGCATTGATAATTAAACACTTAGTTGTTGATGTACTGCCTATATTTTTTAAATCTCACTTTCACATTTTTACCTGAGAAGATTACTATATAGGATATTTTCTATAAATATCTGCTTTTCAATTCAGTCTCTGGCAAAGACCTTGTAAACAGTGATGCAGTGTGGAGTCTCTTTCAATAATTTCCTTACAATAATGTACCATACACTATATCATTTACTATAAAATTGGAAAATGTTTGATTTATTGAGACCCACAAAGAGATTTGAATAAATTATTAATACAGCTTTGGGGAAGAAATTAAGTTTTAAGTTTTTAATATTCACAGTTAGTTTCACTGCATATTTTAAATATTTAGGTTATTTTTTCCTATAATGGTATGCATGAGCTTTATAATGTTCGATTACTGTGGAAAGAGGTTACAAAAGGTCCTCAAAATTGTCATTAGGTGGGAGTGATATAAAGTGTAACAAAATCATCTGCCCAACTGAAATGACACATTTTTAGTTAAACCTTTCTGAACCCCTAATAAAGAAAGGGAAGTATAGTCGAGTGTTATATAATTTCCTAATCTTGTTAATTATTTCATAAAATCAGACACAGTATGCTAAGTTAAATAGCAAATGCAGTCAGACTCATGCTGTGTAAACAGTCTGTGGGCTTTGATAGCGTCTGATTAAGATTTCTGACTTGAAACTATTTCTGACTCCAAAGTGTTCTGTATGAAATCTTTCAAAGCCCACACTGAGTTCATGCAAGCCCGGACAACTGTTCTGCCCTCACAGCCATGTGGAGGCTTTGGCTCGGACTGCCATCACCTTTGACTTCACCTGTGCACCATTCCAGGAATAACTTGAAAGACTCTTACAACTAAAACCATTAGGGAGTTAAAGCATCTGTGTTAGTCTCCATTCCATTTTAAAACAAAACCACCCAGGTGGTTACGTCTAAGATAATCTTCTGCTTAAATGCCACTGTGTACATCTGATGTATGTATCTTAACCTCACTCATAATAAAAATATGACATTCATTTCATACGGACCCTGTGCTAAAACTACATTGGCATTTCCTGTAAAACACCTGGGAGCTAGCACGTTCACAAGTGTGTCTCAAAAGTTTTATTATAATAAATATACTTATGTATGTACATTATCTGACACAGCAGTCTGTATATACAAACCCTCTATTCACATGTTGCAATGTATACATTCAACACTGTATGCGAGAAAACCCCTGAAAAGGAACATGAACAGGTGTACAGTGAACGGGTGCATTATTAGAAGACTGTGGTATCTCAGGTCCCAAGGCTCTCATGAAGCACATTGTGATATAATGCAATGGAGTAAGATGTAGGCCTACTACAATCTGGCTATAGTAAAGATTATTTGAAAGTATTAATATTGTGCTAACAGGAGTGTGGAACAGTGCAGATTTGATCACACCCAACCTGTGTGATGTGGAGAACTTAATTGTAACACTGGCTCCCATACAACCTGACCTGGCTAGATGACCCCCTGCTCTCTGGAACATATCTGACTTTTGAATTCATAAACTGAAAGCACCAATCAGCTGAACATCAAGGGGAATACTTAACAGTAGGCTACATTTATGCTTGAGCTTTTCCACTAATCCACTTGGATTACGTGTTGTTCATATCATCCCGATGGCCAGACACTGTCACGTAATGTCAGGACGACCCCCCCCCCCCCCCCCCCCCCCCCCCCAAGAATCCAAAAATACACGACCCTTGGCCCCTCAAAAAACTTAACCTCAAATTGTGCCGGAGGCCATCCTCAACGAATGACACACTGGCCTATAGGCTATTCTAATTTTTTTTTTTTATCTAGTGGAACTCATCAACTCCACCGAATACATTCACAAATCCGAGAGAGATTAATAACTTGTGTGTCCGCAAATGTTTCAGCCCCTCAAATCCCACAAAAAATTGCTCTTTCTCTCTCTTGTGGAGCCGCTGGCTCTTAAACCACGGTTGCGCGCCCGTGGGCAGCCGTGCAGGGTGCCCATCAGGACGATCTGTTGGTGAGGAAAGTTCAGGACATATTGATGACCAAATACCCCAGAACCGCAGCGACCGTCACGATGACAAAGAATACAAGCACGGCGCAGATGGATGCAAAGCCGGTATCCCTGTTGCCTCCTCCTCCGTCTTCTTCTTTGGGCTCCTCTTCGCAGATGGAGATGACACCCACAGAGGAATTTCCTACACTCATGTTGGACTTGAGCTCCGCGCCTGCCTCCTGCTTCGCCTCCACTGCCCACGGCGCCACCTGCACCTTCATTTCCATCTCCTCCATCATCTGGCTCATCTGGGAGATCTCGGACTGCAGGTCCCTGAGGTCGGCGGTGTCGATGTTGCTGTCCGCCTCGTACTTCATGTTCTGCACGCTCATGGCCCGGGCCGCCACGGTGGTGGTGCTGCCGGTCATCCCCGTCTGGATGAGGTGTCTCGTCGGCACCTTGAGGGGGAAATCCTGCCCTATCTCCAGGGACCTTTTCATGTCCACCTCCAGGAGCTCCATGCTGCTTGAGAACAGCACCCATAGGCGCTCGTACTCGGCTCGGTCATCTTTGCTGATGGTCTTGTCTTTGAGCAGAGAGGTCAATTTAGTCCTGTTGGCCACGGCCAGCTCCTGGGCCTTTTTGCGGGTCCTCTTCAGCTCCTCTCGCAGGTTCTGCGAGTCCGAGGTGCTTCCCAGGGCGATGACCAAATGCCTGTAGCAAGCGGTCACTTTGTTCAAAGCGTCCAGCATTGTTTTGCACTCATCTTTCCCCATGACTGTTCAAACAAAGGATCTGTCTCCACGCCGAAAATATGAAATAATAAAGAAAAGATGCTTCAAGGGAAATGGCGAGCTGTGACGGCGCTTCAGCCACTGTCCTTAGTTTAGTTTCCACAGGAGCACACCCCCAGCTCTGTAAATCCCCTCAACGCACTAGTCAGAGCAAATTCCTCTCTATCCATGCTCCTTCCTGTCTGCAAGCAGGCACCGAGAGCGGCTTAGAAATTAATGCGTTCGTAAATGGCTTTAGGTCTACCTTTGCGCTTCCCCACTCGAGATCAAACAGCGCCGGAGCACCTCTCCCGGGAGTCTTTTTATTTTTATGAGACTGGGATCCAGAATCAACCACAGGTGTCACAACATCCGCCTAACTGCTCTTTGTGGAGAGAACACGGTGCCTTGTTTTTCGTCAGCGGCTTAAAATAATTCCGTTCATGTTCAAAGATGATGCGCAGCCTGGAAAATGGAGATTTTCACAGAGAGTTATAAAGAGAAAAGGGCTTCAAAGCATCCGTAACAGGGAGCCAAACGAGCCATTGTGCTTTTGTTTGTTTACCTGTACGGAGGGGAGCTGTCCACTTCTGCACCCAATAGACGATGTTTAAATACCAGTAAGCGCCTTCTGCGGTCACATGTGCGCACCAAACAGAGCCATGCAGGCAGGGGAACAACGCAGCTGCGCTCCCATTGGTTTGGCCACATAGGCATCTGGTTGAAATGAATCCTGTCATTGGCTGCTCTGTCCCTTTTGTGGGCAGGGCTGTCATATCTGTCAGCTGGGGACGTCAAATCACAGATACCCTAACCTATCTGCGATTTGTCATCAAGATGATGCTTTTTTTTTTTCACATTTCTGACTGACGAAGATTGTCAGAATGCATTCAAAAATAGAAGCCTACTGTAAGAGTGTGTACACACTTTATTTGGTGTCATCCATCAGTTGATCCACTCTATACCTGGTTTGTAAATATTTGTTAAATTTCCAGTGATGCAGAAAATACAAAATTGTCAGGTGTGTGCATAAGTGATATACCACATCCTCATTTCTTCTCTACTTGTTTAGAAGAGTTGCATGCCTTGCAGCCAGTTGCACACACACACACCTGCGTGCACACAGTTCATAATGCCAGTTGCTGCACACAGTATTCATCAGATAATGTGTTGTTTACCTATTTGGCTCCTGCTGTGTTGAGAGGCAGATAAGGCTGCAAGGTGATTGCTTGGTTTGCTCTTTTTGCATTATTGAAGCAGATGGGGCCTAATGATCCGCTGACTGCAGCGTAAAGCTAATGGACTGAAGCACAGAGGATGCCAGGCGAACCGAGGAAGAGGCTCACTGTTTGCTTTACATAAGACGGCATCTGCTGTGGAATGGGGATTTATTTCTTCTGTTCCATTTATTCCTATAGTGTGAAAAACAAATCTTAATTTTTGCTGATATCAGTTTCATGTCACGCATATGATCTTGTCATACAACCCCATGTGTTGTAAAATGATAAATAAATGTACCTTGTAGCTTATTTAATGCATTAAAATTTCTCAATAAGATTGCCTCTGCTGGTAGCCATGCCAGTAATGTCTCACTAATAACAAATATCTTGGCTGAGTCAGGTGTTTTGTTAAGATCTTGGCAAATGGATCTTCTTTCCTTTGAATATGTTTCCATGACAACGTCTCACCTCTTGGCAAGCACTCATTCAGTATTCAATTGCTGGCAATGCAGTAAATTGTCAACAGTCATTCTCATTGTCTCTCGGGTTGTATTTAGAAGGACAGTTTAGCTGTTGTCAAAAGAGAGATTCACGAACAGCAGTTGGATTCATTGTAAGAAGAACACGATCGATTAGATGCGGTTCGAGGGCCTTTTGAGAGCTATATTTTTTTTCTTTTTACAGTTTCAAAATTATATGATTTGAATTTCAGGGATCTAAAACTTATTCTTTGCAAAGGTACATTGAAGTATCCAAGAATGGCACTATTTCAGCTCACAAAATTTCAAGTTATTTCAATCTTGAATTCGCAGATACGAATCCAAACATGACCCCGTTAACTACAAATGTGGGAATATCTATTTAGTCTCTTCTTTATCACCTTTACATTGACACCAAAGAGTCAGAATCGCAGATTTACATTGTGAAAGTGGCGTTGGTGTCTGTCTGTCTTTCTGTCTGTCTGCGTACCTATAATAAGATTGCTGATAAGCTGGTCTGTTAGATTGAAGTGTTAGGATGAGTCAGACATGCTGTGGTCTGATTGCTCTCAGAGTGAATGGAAAACTCAATATGATTTCCCTTTCAGAGGCTCTCTGTGGTTTGCTGTTACACAGGCGAGTAACAAGATAAGAAGGAGCTCCAGATGTTTTTACACTGAAGGATGCATCACACTAACTCGTGAAAAGACAAATAAATCCTGAAAAATAAAAATAAGCCACATATTTTCACCTGATGGAGATCTTTTCAAAAAACACATACATAAGTACTGTGAAATTGAATGAAGGCTATGGTCACAGGTTGAGCATGAACCATAAATGAGGAGAAAATCCACTTTTTTTCATCGAACCTTTGAATGTGCAAGGTATTTGCAAGACACTGACAACATGACGTATTTAATTGCAAACAAAAAGCAGAAAATAGTGAATGATAGTGTAATGGCCTATAGATCTGGATCAACTGGTTTGCATACAACTATTTTGGAAAGTTTTAATGGTACATAATTCAGGTTAATCAGTCATGAGAGCAGCATACAGATTGAGTATTGTAGTATACAGATCGTTGTCTCAGAGGACAAACTCCATTAATATGGCAGTATTTGTGATTGCTGTTTGACATTAGTCTGCTGCATAGACCCATCTTTCCCACAACTGTGATATTTGAAAATAAGGCCAAATTTGTTTGTGTTCATATCAGGCACCAAACACTTTATTTATGTGTCCCATTTTAAAGTGGTGTGTGAGGAAGTGTGTTTTTGTTTACATACGGAGTCCCAGCTCACTGACCAGCTCTGGCCATTAACCTTCAACCCCACAGACGCAAAATGTGTCAAAATACTTTTTTCATGAGAATATATCCTAGATTACGGTGGATATTCTATTACATATGGTGCCACTGACAGCATAAGACTATATATGGGGGGGGGTTAAAACAATTTATGCTATAAAATGATCTACCAATGCTGTAATCCAGATTATCAGGATCTTAAAGGCCCTAGGATTAGCAGTATAATGCCCACTAATGTATCTTTTAATGGAGGCTTTCAACTCTGTCTCCTGCTTTTTCATCTTATGGAATCAATGGTTAATAGTTTAGGTAGAAAATGGAGGCTGCTGGCACTCACTTTGTGTGAGATAATTTTTGAATAAGCTTGTCAGCCTTCTCAATTATCCCAGTAAAAAGCTCCTTGAATATTAAAGTATACTTTCTAGATACAGCCCACGCTAAGTTTTGGCTGGTGCAGTCACCGTAATGTGCTGCTTTGACTAAATGTCTGAACACAGTAATTTACACTTTTCAGTTCTTCAAGCCATCATCCCATTGTTTCCTATCAGTTTTTGTACAGCATGAAAATCATCTTGCAGAGACTCGACACTTCACTGTGAGTTCGTCACATTGAACATCATACAGGTTCACTTCCAGGCAACAGTGATGTAACTTTGACAAAAATAAATCCAAGCTTGATGTTCACTGATGGATAACCCAGGTGTAAAGTCATCTATGGCTGCCTAGAAAGTAGGAAGAAGCATCTTGTGTGAAATAAAGAACTTGGGAAATGGACAGAAATATTATAAATATAATTGCTAGTTTTTTACCCATTGCACAGCTCTCAAAGACAAAATCCAGTTCTGCTGCCAGTGCTTTGGAGCAGGGCAGTGACAGGACATATCTTTAGATGTGGCACTAAACTATGTGGGGGGCAAAGACACAGTAGTAACCTCTAAACACTGAGCCACAAAGTATAATCTCCAATAATCCTCTAAAACACAACTCGTTTGACTTCTCCAAGTTTGACATTTTACTTCGAAATGCCCGCATCTCAGATTAAGTGCAGAACAGGTTTAGCACTCTGTGTAGCCCTAATCTTACGTGATCAGGAAAAGCTTACTTGATGTCTTGTTACTAGTGTAGGAAAATATCCCTTAAAAGCCAATGCTTGCCTGGGTGGGTCTTGTTTTAAGTGGTTTGGGACAGCCGAGTTAGCAGAGAGGCAGACGGATGAGGGAGCCCACAAATGCAGGCTGTTTGTGGAAGCATGAGGACAATTCACTCAGTTAGAAACAGAGACAGGACACCGAGGGGAGAGGGAGAGAGAGAGAGAGAGAGGGGGCGAGTGAGAACCAGAGAAAGATGAAGTCTGTCTTTGTTGAATTATTGATGGACCTCATCCGCTATGTGGTCTCTTACACGGCGCAGCATGCAGCAGCGGGGTAAACCGTGAGTCATGCCTCAACTCCACAAAGGTTCAGACTTAGGAGGATCTCCACTCAACTGTGACTTACACACACACACACTCTCACACACACAATAATGCCCCTCTGTCAACTCCCTATGAAAAGTAAAGCTAAGCTGACCTTAAAAGCCCTCATATAAACTTTGTATTGATCTTGGCAAATGTGATGCAGCATTTAGGAAGCGTGTGTGTGTGCGTGCGTGCGTGTGTGTGTGAGGACAGAGCTGACTAAACTTATGATAAAAACCCACCCTTTTGAAAACTACAGCTTACACTCTGTTAGTTAGTTTAGATTATCTTAGCTAAAAACGAAACAGGGGGAAGATGTAGCCTGGTTCTGTCTGATTGTAACAACATTTACCTACCAGCAGCTATAATGCTCAATATTTAGCACATCCAGACAAAAACCACAGTGTACAAGTGAAGATTTGCTGTTTTACGGAGGATCATCTGTCTGAGTAGGGTTATTTGGCTGGCCTCTGTTTGGCGTTTAATACGTTGGTAAGGTTGTTCAAGGTTATGGTTAGGGTGGGTTTAGGGTTAGGGTAAGCTACTCCTGAGGCAGAGTAGGGGGCAGGACTTGACGCAAAGCTGGTATCAGTCAAGTGAGAGTTTCTGGTGGAAAGAAAAATAATGTGTCAGTATTTATTGGCTTTGAGCAGTTGACAGTCAACCGGCAGATTGAAATACAGTAGTCAGGCATATAACTCCCCATAAAAAGGCAAATTGTCATTTTTACACTTCAGTTTTTGTACAGATTAAATTAATGAGCTGGTAGGAATATTGTGTTACCATTTGACGGAGCCAGGCTAGCTCCTTGTTTTCGGTCTATGTGCTAAGCTAATCTACATGAGAGTGGGATCAATCTTCTCATCTAGCTCGAAATGAATAAGTGTATTTGCCCAAATGTCGAACTTTTGCTTTAAATTTTGTTCTCTTTTAGTCTCAGAGGTGGTACAGACTGGCCACTGAGTAGCGTTCTTTTCTAAAAAGTGAGTCTAGATTTCCTTGGCCAGGAGTTGTAATGAATGGGCTGGCACTAAAGCATGAACGTCATTACTTAAGTAGAGTGGAGTGACTCTGTAGTCTACACTTTCCATGCTAAACAGAGATGACCCAAAAGAATCCATGGCACCTGCTGGGTCAAGGCTTAGCT